TTTATGTGTTCCTGCTCAAACACGGAAGTAGTCCGTGCTCAGGAAATTTCAACGCTCTAGCTGCCTCAGTTGCAGAGTAATATCAAATTTCAAGTGCCCATACCTGAGACGTGAGAGAGAGTGAAAGTTGTTTTCACGCCCACATTGGCCAAGCGTCGCCATCGGTCAATGCCCCAAAAGTTTCAGACCTCAAGCTGCCTCAGTTCCGAGGTCACAAAAATTGTATACGCTAAATTTCCACATGCTCGTATGTAAGATACGGAGGAGATGGAAAGCTCAATTTACTTCCACGGACATATCAGTGGGCGACAAGCAATGATGGAAAACTACAACTCTCTACAATTTCTTGGTCAGCTTAATCCTCGAGTTGGCACGATGCCAATTTGGACTTTTTTCTGTATGCATGTGAGACCTACGGGCGCGTGAAGGCTAGGTTAAAATCTTTGGATTGGTTGTGGGCAAGCAACATCTTCATGAAGTACTAGCCTTTTAGCTTGAGCGGTTCCCAAAACCGCTTTCCCAGCAAAAAACTTTTCACTGCACGTGCGTGAGAACCACGTGGACGTAAGTGGTCATTCCCAGGATAGGGACCATACATAGATTTAGATTAAGCTGCCAAATTTTCAGCTTTGCAGCTTTTATAGGCCTGGATACGAAAAATCGGTACAGACGAATGCAAAAGCACATACACACAAACAGAGAGATAGCCTTACGACAATATGCATTACATAAATGCAAAAAACGCCGAAAAAGTGCTAGATTTTAGAATACCAGTTTTATGTAATCCAAGAAAGCGTTACCCTTTAGAGTGACCAGGGAATTCATGACGGGTTGAGCTTCTTAACCAACATTTTAAACGAAGAGCTCCAGCCAAGAAGTAGGCGCCACTTACCATACACCACCCGGGTATTTTCACTTCAAACACAGATTAAATGCTTTCCTTGCCCTTCCTTTCCACTCTCAAAGACTCGATTTTCCCAAAAACAAACACTTACATGAACTCGACCGACACGCACCCGCACTCCATTGACGTATCCATTTTTAAGTGCGATGAGCAGATCCAACATGTGACTAAAATATTCGCCACTTACATTTTCTTCCCTCAAGACCATGCAAAAGGTTGGGCGTCCCGAAAGTTTCCACCTTTTTGACATGAATTCCAGATTTAGCTGAAAAAAATGAGTGCAATTTGTACTGCTAGCCTCATATTGACACAAAATCAATCATAAAAGCTACTGATTCTACATTTCTTTAAATGTTTCGCAGCATGAAATGTGATAAACCCCGACTCTGAAATTCTCTAGGTCGCAGCCTCTTCCCTCTCCCCCTCCCAGCATGTCCCCAAAAACTGTTAGGTTTAACTGGCCTTCGGGCACTGTTAGCTTTTCGTATTTCACGGACCAATTCATACAGGCGCTAAACTGGCTGAAATATGAGTTTGCTTTCGAAATAGCATGATTCTGCGTATCTTATAAAAGACCCGAAAACAGAAACGATAAATTACCTTTATTTCATCAATCAAAACAGCCGGATCAGCACTGATATAAAAGTCCTTCAGTTCGAATAATAGTGGATAGCAAAGAATGGTATCGCCGAACCTTTTAAAAATTTTGCTAGTATTGAGCGGGCCAAATGGCCGCGGCGGCCGACCGCCTAGACCCATTTTTTCATTCTTTCCCAGCGATTCGAAGACCTGCAGAAGAGGTAGCATTCAGGATAACTATTCATACAGAACTGATCAGCCGAAAAACAAAACACTTTTGTCCTGCATAAGCTCATTTTTTTAAGCCCAAAAACATTTTAACCATACAGACATAAATCACTTTTTATGCGTTTTGTGCTGTGTAAAAGCAGTATAAAACGCATATTGTCACGGGATTGTCTATGTGCGTGTATGTGTGTGTGTGTTCCCCACATTTTATCTCGCACTTTCAACTCGGGAACCACAAAAGCTAGGCAGC